GCGAAACTTCTACGTGAAGCGCTTCAGTGTAAAACTGCTTTTGGAAAAAAACTATTGTTGCAGTGAAAAAAGAAAACAAGAAATTAGCCCAAGCTCGTATTATTTAAAATTTATATCAATATTTTCTTTTAAATAGTATTCTACAAAATCGAAAGCTACTTTTTTTTTTCTCTAAAAAATACCAATAAGAACTCTCTCCCCTCCCCAAATTCTGCCAACCAAGGAAGGCTTAGTGTAAGTTAACATCAGCCTTTTCTGTTGCAGTTTTAATGGGGCGGATCAGTGGATTCCCTGCGTGCCTCCTCTCTGCCGCTAGGTGCGTGAGCCGGCTGCCGGCACCTGCGGGCGAATTAGATGCTCTGGTGCATACACGTGGGCGTTTGAGTCCTGAGATCTGGCGAGTAGGGTCACACAGTTCATGGGTTCATTCACTCGTCTTTGCAAAGCTCTGCTCTGAAAAGATGCTAGGTGCCCTTCATTTTGTATAAATCATTTTTACAGTCTTTTCCAGCTTAATAAAGGAGTGCACTGGTTAATCGTCTCTACTGAGCTTTCCAGTGTACAGTGTTGTCAGGATGAACTCCTTGGAGTTCTCCAGTCAGCGGAAGTGTGTGTATTGTACCCAATGTTAACACAATCTGATTGGCTAAATTTATTGTCTATGCTGGTTAAGGCAAAGCAAAAGCAAAATTCATGTAAGCTGGTTTACATGAAAATGTGATGGATTTACCCAATCGCTTATTCACCACTTCTTTTGTGCTTGGGCTGGGTGTTCTGTGAAGTCTAAAGCTATATAATTCTGTGGTTGCTACCAAAACAGCAAAATACAAAGTTCCTACAAAAAGCTGAAGTGAATTAGTTGCAGTAATCACCATGAATTTCACCACTGAACTTTTACTAGAGAGAAAAAGTTACCTTTCACAAAGGAAAACATGCTATAAAGAAATATTGTTCAATGTTTAACTTTTTCCAGTTACTTTATTTTCACTATTAATATGTTACTAGTATGCTAGGAATGTGCTAGAAACTGTATAAAGCATTTGGGAAGACAAGCTTCCTTGCAGGACCAATCTTTCTAGTATAAACAGAACCCCTTATAAGTAATAATAAATGCATTCCATCAATAGTCTATTCTGGATCAAGGAAATGCAGCCCTCTCCCTAATTCTTTCCCTCAGATACCCAGGAAGAACCCTGCTCTAAGAATATTTGGTTATCCAACCCTTTCACTCCCGATGCACTCGCATATGTCAAGGCCTGGGATCCTCCACAGCCCAGGATTTACTGTGGCTCAGTTTTCTTGGGCCACGGCCAAGCTCACAGGGAAAGGCTTGAAGGGAGCGTGGACTTTACTCTTCTCCTTTGAACTGGTTTAGTTATAAAATCCAGCTGGAGAGAGGTCTCCAGGTGCGGTGACCCATCTCTGCCCTTCCAGGCTCCTTCTCACGGCAACCAGGACAGTGAATTTAAATGTTCATGCCCCACATCCTGTTAAAAAAAGACACCCCTGTTTGTTAAAAAGCCCTTCTCAAATTTATGAACAGTCAAATCACTCATGGGAATACCTGAGCAAAATATAGTTGTGTATGCTGAGGAACAACAGGGATATATCTACATTCCATATATTTTCTGGATTTTTTTTCTGCAGGAGATCCAAAATTCTGCTGGAAAATGACACGTGATGATTGGCATCATGGGGGCCCTTTCAAAGTCCATAAAAGTGCCCTATTCCAAAGACAGCCTCATACCAAGTAGTACTTGTTTTAGGGTAAGGAAACCAAACAATTCATACATTTTAGTGGTTTAATTCAATAAAACTGTATTTCTCTCAAGTCACAATGAATACTTGCTGGTGAGCGGTCTGGTTATGCTGTCACTCAGCTCACCTGTCTTAGGACCTAGACATCCCCACGAGGTCCTCTGCGTGGAGCCAGTGAGGGAGGTATAGGCTCCGGGCCTGGCGGTGGCACTGGGCACCCTGCCCATGTTCCCCTGGTCAGCGGTCAGCAGGAACATGCAGGCTTGTCCTTTCCTGTGGGTACATTTCAAATCAACGTGAATGAGAGGGACATGCTTTCTGCAGAAAACTTGTACTTGTTACCATGTTATCTTTTCCCTTAGGTAACTCAGGAAGAAACAGTTCCTAACCCTGGCAGAGGGGCTGGGATGCGGGCCATCTCCCAACAGTCATCTCCCCACAGTCCGACAGGGAGGGTGTGCACCAGCCCTCCAGCCTCACCCAGGAGAGGACGTGCAGCTTTCCTGGGGTCCCTTCTCCTGCTGTGAAGGGTGATGCACCCAGGACAGAAAGGCACCCTCCCTGCTGGCTT